CTTCATACACTAAAATATATATCACCAAAGTAATGCAAAGAACTTAGCATATATAAGAAAATCTTGCAAAAGGTCACTGTGACAGTAAAAGGAAAATTTAGTTTCAAAAATTTTCAAAAAACCACCATAGCAGGCTAAACAAGCAAAAGCTTGATATGTCAATCACGTGATTTTGTGCAATCTACAAAAAATGTAAACCCGAATACCCTATAAAATTATTCATTTTAAATTTGTTTGAAAGTCTAACCTTTCCAAGAGCTGTCATTGTAGTTTGCTGTTTGACTGAGTCGTCCAAGTTGGACGAGTCGCTGTTGAATTCAGAATCAATTTTCTCTCCATCTCGAACAGAATCCATTTAAGGCTTAAGCTTATTATCATGCGCAGTCCTAATTGAGAATATCAATTTTGGAGGTTATATTATCTGTGATGGTTTTTCAACCAAGCTGAGATCACATTCTCGCTTTACCTTAACAGCGAAAGACCAAATCTTACCGAGAAAACKTTTACAATTCACTCCGATCTTGAGTGAGCTTGCACTTCAACACACTTTCTGTTCTTAAAGGCCTGGCTGCTCTGAACGACTTCTCAACAGGAAACCCAATCTCGTACCCCGAGCCTTCGTTTTCTTGACAGCGCCGAAAAAGTAAGACTGGGAAATCGGAATTTTCTGCGAATTTTGATTGGTTCTTGAAATAGAAACAAATGCCGCCGAAAGYGAAATTACACCAAGGAAAACATGCAAATTCATGTTTTATCTCGACATTTTACCTTAGATTCTTGCTTATATGTCTCACCACTTTTACTGAAAAGAAGAAGAGAAAAACATTTACTGCAGAAAAATATGACGTCTTTCTGACTTTTCATTCACATATGCTAGGTGTGCTATTTACCCCCCCCCCCCCCCAAATTTGGGTAGGGTGTGCCGCTGGGACCTCAAAACGCTGACCCTGTTCCAGACTGAAATCGCTGAAAACTATACCCTGTTCCAGAGTAAAATCGCTGAAAACGATACCCTGTTCCAGCGTAAAATCGTTGAAAACGATACCCCGGTTGGCGGCACGTACCCGTATATATAGCGAATATAGNGACGACATGTGTAACACTGAATTCGTTTGCACACTCATATGACACTTATTGCCATACATCGGCATAGGCCGCCCAACTAATGCATTAGAGACAGAATTGCACGCTTTAAAAATGTATTTATATATCGGCGCGTGCTCTTAGAAAAATTCGGGTTACCTGTGTTGTTACGTCACGATCCCGCGCCTCGCGAGTACGTCTTTATCCACAGGTTTTTTTCTTGTGACAAATCATCGGGATGTTCTGGTATCCGTTTCTATCCGTTTTGAATTCATTTTTGATCTTCAGTTAGGCTATAGTAGATGATAAGATTAAAAAGAAAACAGGTGAAAACTTTTAGCGCTGCTCGTTATTGACGCGTAAGCTATAAAGCTGACGAAAAATTCGCAGAAAACTTTGATGCTGTTCACTAATAAAATATACCTTGATGTCATATTAAACAAGAATGTTTAGAAAGTAGATTGTCATCAGTCTATTCCATCCAAAGCGCGATTTTACGGTCTAAATTACATGTTTTCCATAGCTTAACAAGATAAAAAACGGACTTAGTAGGGGTGGGTGCTTACCAAAATGCCACGATRTGTGAAACGAGCCTCTCCGACCGCCGGTTTTCATTGGAAATCTTGAATTTTTGAAGGGATATCSYTTCATCGTGAAAAGAAGATTAGTCAAGAGGCTGTATTAGGTATTGGGCAAAGATTTTTTGAAAGTCTTTTGACGTGACAAGTGATTCTGACTGAACCAGGAGCGATTTTGCGAGATCTTTTTGAGTTTGGCCAGCGGACTACTGTGCAACCTTTACTAAATTTAAGTAACTTACGGAGGTACGYTACAAAATACCAAAAAAAACTCGCTAAATAGTCGTCCAAATGACCTGAAACTTCACACGAAGAGCAAGGACAATAAAAGAGACAACGTAGGATGTTTTTTTAATTCTTTTTTACATTTTCATCAAGTTCAGCTAAAAGCCGCCAAGTGTAGAGCTTGGGCTACCTGTGCTTTATCTGTGACAAATTAGTCAACCTCGTTCCCAGGGCTACTCTGCTCGCTTTTTTCAAAATGGCGGACAGAGATAGCCCTGGCATTGGCMGGTCACGTGACACCCACTCTCAGTGGGTGTTTAGTGTGGATTACCGCTGAATGCAGGCGCTATTTGGTTTTGGAAAAGATAATTCGGAGCAACAATTAACTTTTTTCAACTTTTCAAAACATTCTGAAAAGCTAATTTTCACACATTTTAATGCAAGCTGGGAAGATTCCCGCCAATTTCATTAGATTCCGATCCGTGTTTGAATGCACGTCCTGAAAAACTTGTTCAACAAAGAAAGAGAAGGAAAAACTTAGTCATTTTTGAGGGTTTGTCAATCCAGTTTAGCAAACTGTGGCCCTAAAATAAACAGTCTTGACTTCCTTTTCGCTTCAAGTAATTGACAACAAGGAGAGCTGATGTTCCAGGAAGCTTAAAGGCATGTTAAAGATCAAGAGGAAAAAACAGCGGATTTGTGAACTCTCTTTTTGAATTGTTGAGTAGTAAGCTAACCTGTTATGGATTCGTCGAAGACCAAAGCAGCTGTATAAAAATTCAAGAGATATCGACTCAGCTCATCGAGATGACTGAAAACAGGAATTTGAAAAGTCGCTTAGGCTTCTGAAGACTGGCGAATTGTTCAAATTTATAAGGTAACTTCTAAGCTTAAAAGAAAACGTCAATGTTTGTTGAAGAAGTTCAAGCATGTCAATTGATGTCTTTTTAGTCCTTTTTCATGGCTTATCTCGCTGATATATCTACAAATCTATCTAGNCTTCATGAAATATAATACAATGGAGTTAATTAATATTTTGTCGTCGATCGACCTCATTAACATCATCATCTGACCATTAAATACTATTAATAGCAAAGTCACCTCTAGAAAGGAAAGTACATGTACATATAATATCACAGTTACGTTCACTGACTGATATAAATTTTTCAAATATTGAATTAACACAAAACTGCATAGTTTTGAGTACATTTTCAACATATAATAAGAAAGCAATAATTTGAAAAATTCAAGTTTGATTTTTGTTGCTTGTGCCTACAGAAGTAGTCTCCTTTGCATCCGTTCATCGTCGGGACAGGAATCCCGAAACGCAAACGGATGCGAAGCAACGCCAACTCTTCAAAGGCGAAAATACATAATTGGATTTTTAAATTTTCTCACGAAAAATACACAGCAATGTCACACATACATTTTATTTCTTAAATCCGGTGCTAGGTTTTTTTATTAACAAAATAAGTTATGCGCGAGGCCCAGAAGTTTTTGGAGCGAACTGTGGTGAAAACATGGATCGCCATACTATTTTAATGCTCAACTTCAACTCTTCAAGGGCAAAAATACGTGATTGGATTTTCGAATTTTTTCACGAAAAATACCCAGAAAGGTCACATATAGATTTTATTTCTTAAATCCGGTGCTAGGTTTTTAGGATTGTTTTTAATGTCGCCGCATTTCTTCMAAAAGMCTTGAAATCTGGCCTTTTTTCGTCAAATTTGGCACTTCATACGGACTGKMAGGYCAAGYTTGAKTGATCACGGACTATTTGTCCCCCATAAGTTTCATATGTGTAGAGCTCTCCCACAAGAAAAGTTCAAGCTTTTTCCTACTCTTGTTCTGCTTTCTATCATCTTTTGTTAGATATTAAGTTGTTAAACTTATTGCTCAAGATTCATATCATGACTATTATCAACAAACATCAATTTAATTTTGTCAGCGGTAACGCCTTAACTCAACGCCTTCTTAGTCGTCAATCTTTTGAAAGTAGAGGTCCGGTTTTACATTCTAGTTATCCGAAAAGATGGCAATATAGTACCCTTACCCATGCAAGCATACAGCGTGATCACCCGTTCAGGAAATCTACACCATCACTTCTGAATTATTGTCTAATATAACAAAATACTAATATATCATTATCACGATCCACGACATTTTACACACGACCCACGACGTCCTACCCACGACCCACGCCTGTTAGGTACTTTTGATATTTCAAGAATGAAAAGATACGGTTTAAAAACGTAATTTTGACTAAAATAATAATAAAAACTATATTTTCGTCGCCTTTAATGAAAACGTTTTACGGATATGTTAGAAATTCGTTTTTATCCACCCTCCCGCCGTAAAATCCTTTAGCTATGGTCCTGTAAATGGTCCTTTTTAGGGGTGAACCCGTTGCAACCACTCTCTTTGATTTGTTTGTAATAATTTAAATCACAATACAATTAATCAAACATCTTTTACTTGCATCTTATTTGTTTTATACAAGTCATGAGCGGGAGCAATATGAACCCCACATATGGAAGCTTTCCAACTAATGACTGACCTCAACGGGYGCAGAATCTACATATGCCCTTATCCCCATAAACTTAAAATTTCTGGATCCGCACCTATAATCATTGTTTYAATTGTTTTATTGATCGAAATCCCTTCAGCCCTTACGCAGGCTACACCAACACACCTGCGCTAAACTAGCTTTGTGACAGTTATTCTATAGGTGACACGGATCAGTTAAAGCGTTAAACCCAGTAGTCATAGCGAGTTTAATGAACTTAGAATGTGAGGGGCATTCTGGACCTTTCCTTTCTCAAAAACTATCCTAAATGTCTTAATAGTTTTTTGATAAAAAAATCGTCGTGCAGTTATTTCCGGTTAAGTTGAAAATGAAACTAGATATTTGGAAAAATGTTTCATCAAAAATAAAGCCTCAAAATGTTT